AACATACTTTTTTTTATTAATGTCAATCTTAAACGTTTATTTTAAGCAACATTTTACTGACGACGATTGAATATTTGGACTGGACTTAAGTAAAAAAACATATTTACTGTTTATACATATTATTAGATAACTTAATTATCAGTTTTTTTTACAAGAAAGAAACACGTTATAAAATACGACATACGTTCGTCAAATCGATAGAATCGTTCGTAAATGAAGTATTGAAAGACCCGAATTATTTTATCTGTAGAATTAGTAACATTATGGAATACAATAGAACTGTGTTTTACAACGAACAGTTATTTACTAACTTGTTTATCTATGTATAAGGTGAAACAATAGTGTGATGTTATAACAAGTACAACAGTTATCATTACACGGGTAAATCCCAGAGGATTGTAGTTAAACGCTTAGTACAATTCGCTTTTTTTCAAGTTACTCTATTCCATATTTTTTAAAAATGTTTTTTTTTGCTATTTTAAAGTCAGGAAATAAGGTAACACGAGATACAATCTTTAGTTGATAAAAAGTATATAATACTCCATTCAGACGATTTACATGTGATAGAAGTAAAATCAGTTCTGACAACGTTAAGTAAACCGGGGAAATCATCGTGCTCTTGATGTTTTCGATGTTTTTATTCTGTTCTGGTTGGATTAAGAAATTATGTTTATGTGTTGTTTGGGAAAAACCTTTGAATTACCTATACAGCACATATTGTATTGTTTCTCAGAACCGAACAAGGTAGAAACAGTTTAAACTGGTTATGGAAATAAGTGTACAAATCAATCATTTTACGCCAACTATTATTATTATCCAGAAATCGTTTGTTTTCAAATTTCGCACGAAGCTGCACGAGGTTTATCTGCGCTAGCCGACCCTAATTTAGCAGTGTTTGTTTGTTTTGAATTTTGCGCAAAGCTACACGAGGGCTATCTGCGCTAGACATCCCTAATTTAGCAGTGTAAGACTAGAGGGAAGGCAGCTAGTCATCACCACCAACCGTCAACTCTTGGGCTACTCTTTTTACCAACGAATAGTGGGATTGACCGTCACATTATAACGCCCCCACGGCTGAAAGGGCGAGCATGTTTGGTGTGACGGGGATTCGAACCCGTAGATTGCGAGTCGAGCGCCCTAACCACCTGGCCATGCCTGGCCAATTTAGCAGTGAAAGACTAGAGGGAAGGCAGCTAGTCATCACCAACCACCCCCAACTCTTGGACTACTCTTTACCAACGAATAGTGGAATTAAACATCACAATATAACGCTCACAAGGCTGAAAGAACGAGCATGTTATCAAGAAAGCAACTACGAAAGAAAAAGAAGAAAGAAACAGAAACAACAACAAATACCTAAGAATATTACTTTGGCTTTCAATCTAAATCAAATCTTCAGTTTACAAAAGTGAAGGAAATACGAAAATGTACCCAGACTAACGTTTACAATGTATATTAAAACTAAAATTAATAATAACGTAGCACCGGCATAGATATACAGGTTTTGTATCATGTTTTTTTTTCCGGTTTCACCCATCACGGGAGAGAGTTATAAGCAGCTATTCTGTTCGAAACCCTAACCCAGAACCCGTGAAATATTGTTTTGCACGAGTTATTTTAGACACCATATCTGAAAACTTTGCTTCTAGAGTTTGTTTTAAAAAAATATTGAAGCAATAAACATAACGCATTTGATGTATTAATACTAAATTATTTATCCAATCACAAAGCGTTAGCGTGTAAGTAGACATAAATCTCAGCCAGCAAAAAGTGGCCAATATCACTTTTTGCTGGCTGAGATTTATGTCTACTTACACGCTAACGCTTTGTGATTGGATAAATATTTTAGTATTAATACATCAAATCATGGCCAATATCTTTTTATACCACGGCTGAATTTTATCTGATAATAAGATTTTAGTTCCTTCGAAAACTAATTATATAGATATATAATAGGTATGTAAACACACACGTTTTGGCTGGTTTGTAATTCAGAGATGTGCGAGAAATCGCTCAAAAGTTCAATTCTGTTTCGCATTTCTCAATCCATTGATATGAACTAACAAGGAAAAACATTATGTCAGGAAAATAAACCGAAATTGTGTCGAGAGTGAAAAACGTTTATAGAATAAAGTAAAAAAAATACAAACAAGCAAACAATGCTGAACAAATGTGACGAAATTCTCTACTAAAACGGCCCTAGTGTGAGCTTGTTTCGAATTTCGCGAAAAAACTACACGAGGGCTATCTGCCCTAGCCGTCCATAATTTAGCAGTGAAAGACTAGAGGGAAGGCAGCTAGTCATCACCACCCACCGCCAACTCTTGGGGTACTCTTTTTCCAACATATAGTGGGATTGATCGTCACTTTATAACGCCCCCACGG